CCGCTGCGATGCATTTCACGCTCCCACCACCGGCCACCACGATGTGTCAGGGACCTTTGCCCCAACTTCCCGCTCTTTCTAGTGGTCTTGCTGGTACCACTACTTCTTCTGTCCTCTTGTCACAATCGGCTCTCCCTCTCCCTACCCGTTACTGGCCCCCGACGTATGTTCCACAATTTCGACGGGACCACCTCCCACAGTTTGACGGCAGGGCCTCCAAGCTCCAAGGATGGATCACTACCGCTGAGGAGCAGCTTCGCTACCATGGTGTCGCCATGAAACTGTGGCCCATTGAGATGTCCTCTCGCTTTACAGGTCGTGCAGCCTCCACCTGGCGCGACTTCCTCGCCCTTCGCTCACAGCGTGGTGTACATGAGGGCATGTCTTATCATGAGTTTCACGACTTCCTTCAACAGTACTTTTCTCGTCCTGCGCCAACCCGCTACCCGATTACCCATGTGGCTGAGATCAGATGGCTCGGTGGCGACAATGCTTTAGAGTCATACATCACGACATTTCACCGTGTACGCACTTAGATTCTAGTCACAGCCATTCCCGAGGACACCATGATCCAACGATTCCGCGCAGGTCTACCTCAGTCATTCCAGTTGCAGATAATGGCGTACTCCATCTCCACCTTAACAGAGGCTTTCAACATTGCTAGGGCCATCCATCTCACCTATGCTCCACTCGTCGGCCCCTCGCCTCAGTCCGTCGCTGCCCATTCCGCTACTACTGCATCACCTCGCCCCTCCCAGCCTCGACAGTCCTCCACATACCGTCGTGGCCCTCGTAGAGGCTCTGAACGATTCCTCTCTCGTCGCTTGCATGCGCTGCTTCGTGATCCGTCGAGCATTGATGATGGCACTGCCTCAAATGATTCTGCGAGTGACCCAGATCAGGGACCGACACTCACTCCCCCGCGGAGGACGACGCCTCTTCCCATGACGACCGTCTTGTCCAGGCCCTTTCCACCCTCCTCCGACGTCAGCCCTCATCCTCCAGGACTCGCTCTACGGTCACTCAACTACCTCTCCCAGCGGGCTTAGTGTTCCCTCGCCGCCGCTTGACCATCCCTGAGAGTGAGGACCTTCGCACACGAGGCATCTGCACCCGCCGCCGCCTCGCCGGCCATACCTCCTCTACCTGCCCGTACGCAGACGCCCTCCAGAGTCACTTCGCCCAGCAGGCTCGCCCTCAGGCTGTTCCCCCCGTCTCGACCTCCAGCGTAGCACCCACCTAGCTGTGATGTCCCATTCCCCTCACTCTCCTACGGTAGCAGGCATACCCGTTCACAACTCTACCTTTGCACTGCTTGCAACTCTTCCCGATGACTCTGGTCCAACCTTATCTGTGGGTGACCCTATCGACACTGGTATGCCTTCTCCTTCCCTGCCTAGCGTCCCTCGTCACCCCCCTCCTCCACGTCCTCCTACCAGGCGTGCTCTTCGCACGGCCCGCTGCAGTGCTTCCCAGATTGCAGCCGAGGATATCATTGACTTCTTGGACCTTGAGTGTGTTAAGGTCCACCAGGAACGTCTCCGCCTTAAAGAGCGCACCCTGTCCGCGATGTCTCAACGCCTACACAATCCCGATCGCACCTTACCGATTATTCCAGTGCGCCTCGGGACCTCCACTAGAGTGTATCGCGCACTATGGGACTCTGGCTCTACTGGCGACTTCATTCATCCTCGCGTAGTTAAGGAGGCATCTCTCTATACATCCGCCTACCCTTCCACTCTCACTGTCACGCTTGGCGACAATCAGGTCAAATCCTTCGTCGATTCGGTGGTGCCTGATCTTCCATTCTCCCTCCCCCTGCGTATGCCCCACTGCCTTCGCAAGGCCCCTCGGTTCCATGACAAGTGGACCTTCGATGTCATGGAAACCCTATATGATCTCGTTCTTGGCACTGCCTATTCCCATCAGTTCGCTCATGCCGGCCCGATTGGATCCACAACGATCTGGTCCTCGACGCCAAGGACGGGAAACAATACCGTATTCCGTTGTTGGGCAAATCGGACTCTACACTTCCCCCCCTTGTTAATGTCACCATCTGTACACCTACCCAGTTCCACCACCTCCTTCGTGAGCCTGATGTAGAACTTTATGTTGTCGACATCACGGATCTCCTCACCTGCAACTCCATGCATCAGGACGTTGAGTTGGTCGAGCTCGATCCACCACCTCCCGAGCCCCCCGACCCTCCTGATTCCTCAACTTCCTTAACCTCCTCTACCCCTGCTAGCCCACTTCACTTTCTCGCTTCCCTTACCACTGATACACCCTCAGTCCCTACCCCCATACAGACCCCCTCCACCTCTGCTTCAGACGCTGCCGCTGCTAAGGAATTTGACACCCTTCTTTCTTCCTTGCCGCCTAGCGTTGGTGCCCTCCTTCGTGAGTATCATGATGTTTTCCCACCATCTGTCTCCTACAACAGCATTCCTCTCATGCGTGGTATCGAGCACCACATCCAGCTCGAGCCCAACTATCGCATTCAAAATCGCGCCCCTTATCGCCTTTCGGTTCCCGAAGCCCAGGAACTCAAGCGCCAACTTGAGGAGCTGCTTCGCCAGGGCTTCATGAAACCAAGTACTTCCCCATGTGCCCCGGTCCTCTTCGATCGCAAGAAGGACGACACCCTTCGCCTCTGTATTGACTACCGCGGTCTGAACCACTACACGGTCAAAAATAGCTATCCCATGCCTCACGCGGATGACCTGTTTGACCGCCTCTCTGGCCACCATTTCTTCACGAAGATCGATCTTCGTAGCGGATATCACCAGATCCGCGTAGCCAAGGAGGACCAGCCCAAGACCGCTTTTCGTTCTCGTTTCGGGCACTACCAGTTTACCGTCATGCCTTTCGGTCTCCGTAATGCCCCCGCCACTTTCCAGACGGCTATGAACACAATGTTCCAAGACCTTCTTGAGGACTATGTTCTAGTCTACATTGACGACATCCTGATCTAAAGCCGTACCCTAGAGGATCACCTGACCCACCTTCGCACTGTCCTGCAGCGACTACGCGACCACGGGTTCTATGCGAAACTTTCCAAATGCAGCTTCGCTCAACCCAAAGTCGACTTCCTTGGGCATCAGGTCTCCGAGCCCGGACTCCACATGGACGACTCGAAGATTCAGGCCATTGTCGACTGACCCACTCCTACCTCTCTTCCTGCGTTGCGTAGTTTCCTTGGGTTGACTAACTACTATGGTCATTTTCTTAAAAACTACGCGCAGTATTCTTCACAGCTTACCCCTCTGACCCGCGAACGTTACGTTTTCATTGGACCCCGACTCACGAGGATGCTTTACGCTCTCTCAAGCGACTTGTCACGTCAGCTCCTGTCTTACACTTACCTGACTACTCGCGTCCATTCATCATCACCACTGACGCATCCGACTTCGCTATTGGAGCTGTTCTCTTCCAGATCTACCCAACCCCCTCTACTTCTCCCGATTCCACAGATTCCCGCCTCCCTCGCATTCCTCGCTTCCCTCCTCCACCTCCAGCGAATGTGGCTCATCTTGCACCCATCCAGCCCACCCCCTCAGGGGCCCCACCCCCTTATATTCCTGACGTCGCTGATGACGGTACAGTCGAGTCTCGTGATGGAGAGTGTCCGGTTGCTTATCTATCTCGACATTTACTTCCCGCTGAGCGTAACTATACTGCCGACGAGCGCGAGGTCCTTGTGCTGATCTACACTGTTAAGAAGTGGCGTTATCATTTGCACTGTCACACTTTCACCGTTTTGACGGACAACTCTGTCCTCGCCGCCTTCCAGACCAAGCCTAAGCTCACTTCCCCTCAGGCTCGTTGGTGGCGTGACCTCTCCGAGTTCGATTTTACCATCAAGAAGATTTTCGGCGAAAGCAATCGCGTAGCAGATGCCTTATCCCGCCGCCCCGACCTTCAGTGCGAGGATCGTCAACTATCTGCTATTTCAGCTCCCACCATCCACCCCGCCTTTTTGGATGAGTACCGCCACGCATACACCCAGTGCCCTGAGTTTCAGTCCATCTACGATGACCTACAGGCTGGCAAGTCCGTCCCTAACTTCCAGCTCGATCCCTCTGGACTCCTATACTGGCTTGGTCGCCAAGGTACCCGTACTCCTCGCTTATGTGTGCCCTCTACTGGTCAGCTCCGTGTTTGGGCCGTCGCTGAGTGTCACGACCAGCGCACCGCCGGTCATCTCGGTGTCTTCAAGACACTTGACCGTCTCTACAGCCATTACTACTGGGAGCACCGTCGTCCCTTCACTAAGGAGTACGTCCGCACCTGCAGGATTTTCCAGGAGGCCAACATTCCCAACCACCCCCCCTACGGTTTTCTTCAGCCCTTACCCATTTCAACTCAGCGTTGGACTTCCGTCTCCATGGACTTCATCGGCCCTCTTCGTCCCCCTACCCCACGAGGCCACGATGCCATCTTCGTTGTTATCTGTTGGTTGAGTAAGCATGCTCATTCCCTCCCTTGCAAGTATGCTAGTTCAGCCAAAGACTTCGCCTCCTTATACTTCAACCGTATTGCCATTCATCACGGTCTTCCCACTAGCATCGTCTTTGATCACGATCCCCGCTTTACTTCTCATTTCTGGCGTGGACTCCATGAGATCTATGGCTCCGAGCTCCGCCTCTCCTCCTCCTATCACCCCCAGTCAGATGGACAGACCGAGGTCACCAACAAAACCCTTGGGAGTATCCTCAAGAAGTTTGTTGAGAATGACTCTGATTGGGATCTGCATCTTGCTCACGCAGAGATTGCCTTATAACCATGCTATTTCACCGGCCACTGGCATGTCTCCCTACTACTGTGACTTGGGATACCATCCTCGTGTCCCATATGACCTTCTCCGTCCATCTCAGATCCATCCCAACACCAAATGCCCTGCCCTCGATGACTGGGTAAAGGAGATGGATGCGCTTCTTAGCAAGGCTCGCGAGAGCATTGCTGACTCCCAGACTTGCATGGTCACTCGCGCTAACCGCTCTCGCATCGACCATCCCTTCAAAGTTGGCGACGAGGTTCTTGTCGACGCACGTCACTTCCAGCCCGAAGCTGACACACTTCGAAAATTCGGACGTCGATATATTGGACCATGCACCATTCTTGCACCCACCGAACCCAATCATGACTGTCCTGTGAGCTTCAAATTGAAGCTCCCCGATTCCATGTACCGCGCTAACTTACATGACGTGTTCCATGTATCTCTTTTGCGCCCCTTCAGACGGTCTCCTCCCGAGTTCCATGGCAGACCTTCCCCTCACCCCTCCCATTATCATTGAGGGTCACGAGGAGTTTGTCGTCTCTGATATCGCGTCCCGACGTATGACTGATGGTGACCCTCCCCGCCTCGAGTATCTTGTTCGATGGAAGGGTTACCCTGACGAGGAGTCTACTTGGGAGCCTCTTGAGCACCTGAAGCATGCCATGACTTTCGTGCGTGCTTACAACCGTGCTCATCCTTTCCCTTCATCATCCTCCCCCCTACTTCTCGTCCTTCTACTACTGACCCATCTACCTTTGCGACCACTAACATTTCCCCTCCTCCATCGATAGGTCCTCCTGCTCCACCGGTACCCGCCTTAGGTCCTCCTTCCCCTGTGGACGTGGTTCCGCCTGTTGTTGCAGTTGATTCCTCTCGCCCTCAGCGTACCCATCGACTTCCTTCTCGTTATTGTGATTGATATATACCCCCCATACGCTCTCTATCTTTTACCATTCCTGGACACTTATGCATCAGCTCCTGGTTTCAGCTTCTACACTCGGCTTCTACATTCGACTTTCGACCTCAGTGCTTCCCCCAGTACCAGAGTATCTGTCGCATTGTTCCGGACTTCTACTCGGTTCTTGCGGTACTCCTACTTCATCCAGGCTACTTCGGTTCGACTTCAGTCTCGAGACCCATCAGTTGGACTACTTCACTTTTTCGGCTACAAAGTTTCCATCATTCCCACCTATCCACCACCCTCGAGCTTACCCTTCAGTCGCATGATGACCCCTATTTTCCCTGTCTATGTGGGTGTGTCCGCTTGCCGCCCTTCTGCCTTACCTTATGCTGCGCGCCCTCCTCTGGAGTGTACGTTTTCTTTGCTCGCGGCTTTTGGCCACATGTCTATGCCGGCATGACCCTCTCTTTCCTTCCAGGCTCACCATATGTGTGCTCCCTTGTGTGAGTGCCCTCCCCCTTTCAGCTGGCGGTACCCGTTTGATGGTTTCCATTGAGCCCGGTGTCGTGCTGTTACTCTCCCTCTGAGCCTGATGACCCTTACCTGGTTGTGTGGGTGCCCCCTTGGAGTTTACTCTGAGAGCTGTACCTGCCGCCTTCCCACCAATTCCTACCTCTGCCATGCGACTGAGTTCCTTTCTCTTCTGTTCAGGTATTGTGCATGATGTACAGGGCACGTGAGATTGTGCCACATTCTTTTCGACGTAGGACATTGACGTAGCTATTCTTTGGCCGTTAGGGCCCTGGTGTTGATTTATATTCAGCCTATTTGGCTCATGAAACATTTTTCTCTTTCTTGGCTGACACAGGTCAGACATTTTTCTCTTTCTTGGCCGACACAGGTCAGACATTTTTCTACGTTTTGGGTCGACACAGACCAGACATTATTGTAGAGATTAGGCTTGAGGCTTAGTCTGCATTGCATCCCTTTTCCTGCATGGAGCCTCCTCCGCATCTAGGATTGTTTCTTTCGCCGTTCCTTTTGGGTTTCCGCTATTTCAGCGGATAGCGTGTTTGATGTATCGCTTGATCCATTCACAGGTCCGAGGATCGTGTAGCGGTACCCCTACGGCCCGACAGTGAGGCCGGACCAGTTTCAGGTCGTCGGCTTGACCCTGGTCCGGTACCAGGTTGCTCTATACCTAGACCTGGGCCGGTATATCACTTCGGCCTAGGCCCAGGGCGGGAGGTTGGTTCATTCAGTTGTTCATTCGTTCTTCCATTGAGCCGGACTGGACCTTCACTCAACTGCTGCTTCTTGTGTGTGTCCATCTCCTCTCTCTCTCTCTCTCTCTCTCACCATCTCCGCACGTGCGTCACAACTAAAGTCTTTTGCCAACCGAATTGTCCCTCTGTATCATGGCATCCCCCTAGGATCAAACTGCGGATCTCGTCACTGTTGGGAACGCATAGGCCGTCTACTACGTTAGTCTTCTCAAATAATAACCCCTCTATAGTGCGGTAATCCGACTCGGTCTCTGGGGCCTCCTTAACCTTTTTGAGGAGGTCACTATAGATAGGGTCCTGTGCATACGCCTGTCTAACTTTCTCTTGCAGGTCACTCCCTATGTCCAGATAGTGAACTATAGCTCCAAAGTAGTCTGATGTCCTACTCAAAGCATCCGCAACTACATTGTACTTACCCTTAACAGGCTTGAGCTCGAAGTCATACTGGTCTATCTCAGCGGCCCACCTAGTCAACTTAGGTGTCATCTTGGCCTGTGTCTTCAACCATCTAAGAGTCTCATGATCGGAGTACACTTTGAAGTGCCTCCCAAGCAGGTAATGCTTCCAGTGTTCTAAAGCCTGCGTGAGAGCATAGAGTTCCCTCTCATACGTCGAGGTAGCAACCTTCTCTGAGGGCATCCTCGCTTGCATGAACTCTACGGGTCTGTAGCCATTGTCGTCATCTTGCTATAACACGACACCTATACCATACCGACTCGCGTCCGTACTGACGACAAATGGCAAAGACAGATCTGCTACTTTGAGGACAGGATACTCTATTAATGCGCGCTTCAACCTCTTTAGCGCAGACGTATAGTCCTTGTCTCACTGCCAGATTGCCTCTTTCTTGAGCAACCTGCGCAAGGGAGCGGCGCCAGTGGAGAAGTTCCTTATGAACTTCATGTAGTAATTAGCTAGGCCTAGGAATGACCGCAACTCTGTCAATGTGCAGGGCGTCGACCAGTCTCTAATTGTCGCTATCTTACTGTCCTCAGGCTTAATGCCATCTCCGTCTAACACGTGGCCCAAGTACAGGATTTGTGTCTTGGCTCTTCACATTGATCTTCAAGTTAGTTTCTCTTAGCTTCTCCAAGACCTGCCTCAAATGACCCTGGTGCTCTTGGAGGGTCCTACTGAATACTAAGATATCGTCTAGATATACTACGACGAATCTATCTCACCAAGGCCTAAACAAATCGTTTATACATCGCTGAAATGTCGCTGGCGCATTGGTCAGTCCAAAGGGCATCACTATGAACTCAGTGCTCATAAGGAGTCTGGAACGCAGTCTTGTACTGGTCATCAGGATGAACCTCTATTTGATGATACCCGGACTTCAAATCTATCTTTGAGAGATACTTACAACCCTGCACCCGATCTAAGAGATCGTCTATCCTGGGCAGCGGAACGCAGATTGCGCTTCAGGTGCTGTTGCCACTTCGTGGCCTGGTTCCCGCTCTTCGAGCCCTGGTATGTGCGCTCTTATTCAACGCAATACGTAGGAAAACGCTGTCTCTTTCCTGACCGAACGCGTCTAGTTCCTAATCCTACCCGCACCTCACGTTCACGAACCCGTTCAACTGCGTCTCGTAGATAGATATTCCTTTTGTTGCTATTTCACTTTACTGCTTTTTTTTTTGCCCCTCATGAATATAATATAGAATAGGGTATGGGGGGCTTTAT